CAATTAATGTTTTAGAGTATCCGCTTTTACGTTCACAGTTGAGTGAGAAAAAGACAAAAAAGACAAAACCTGCCTGAGTGCGCATGCATATTTCTGCTCTTCAGGGATGAGATCCTGGTCCCTGTGTCGATGCGCATGTACGTTATTTTTGTCCGAAGCACGAATGCCTATAATCGGTTAAAAGTGACAACATTTCCATCGAAAATATCCCTCGCTTGCTGGATACTCGACACGTCCTTCGGCGGTGAGTAGTGAAACGCCCTTTAGGGAGGTTACCTGCCAAAAAGTAGACTTATGTCTGCGAATATGCATTTGCAGACCAGCAGCGGCACTGCCTGCAGGATACGGAAGAGTGATGTCTGGGAAAGTACTCCTTCATTAAATGCCGCAGAGTCCGACGAAGAAATTCTGACATGGGGAGCATGATAGATTATTGAATTATTTTAATGACTTGTCTCTGCCTTTGGGACTGAACCTCCGTTCACAGGTCAACTTGATGACAAGGAAACCCAACGTTCATCACACCCATTAGTCTCTGTCTCGTGACAGTTTCTTCATTACGACTCTCAGTGCACGCGCTAACACATGCAGACCTTCACTGATTGACGGCACTGCAAATATTTGAGCTGACTTCGAAAAAGAGGCAAGAACCGAGCATCGCATGCTGAAACTTGTAAATCCTTCTAACATCGGAAAAGGAGAGACTTAGCGCTCGAGATTTAAGACAGTATAATGTGGGTGGTATCTGACTGTCCAAGGTGCGCCTACCAGTTCATGATACACGCGGTATTAAGGTGCCAGTCATCAGTGCTTCCTGCCTATCTTAGCCCTCTCAGTGGCATCTCTGGCAGAATTGGTGACTCAGTCGTTCTGAGTAATCGTGTCAAAATTTCACGCATGCGCTGGGAACTGGTGTCAGCGAGGATTACAACCGTACGTCTCCCTGGCGGTGCACTCAAAGTCTCAGATGTTGTGGTGAAGTTGAGAAAACGCTTTTCCTGACAAACTTCAAACAGCAACTAGCGAGTTTCATCTACATGTGGGCTATTAAAAAGTCAGGATGGAAAATTTTCGTGGATTTCCGAGGCTAGTCCTTCGTCGTTACGGAGTAAGAAACAATTGCGTGAATGGTGAAGAATTTGGCAATCTCAGCTTCGCTGAACCGCTGGATACATCCGGTCAGCTGTGACCTCAGTGGCGGTCACACACGTGTGCTGCATGATACGGCTGCAACAAATAGTGAGGTGGGATTGCATGGAATCCGAACCGCATTTCAGCTAACGGTCATTAGAAAAGTTTGCACTTAGTTTTGAAAAGGAGTGAAGTCTAGAACGCGTCTGTCGCGAATACCAAAGGTAACAAACGAAATAATAGATTTACAGGCAGACACAAAACACCTAAACCCAGCAGACCCGGTCGCCTCAAATACCAGTCAATTTTATGACGTTCCGGCACCCGTGTATGACCGACAACAGCAACCCAGCATTCGCCAAGAAGATCCTACTGGACATAGCCAAAATAACCAACAAGCAAGTACTAGTGATTACGGCATTCAAGTGGAAATTAAGAAGTGTATTTCTGCATTCAGCTCTTACCTGATTTAAGGCAAAAACCATATACACAGACCAGAGCGACGTTTTAACGTGACAGGTCATGGTGCAAGAATAACCATGACCTAAACACCCACAAAATTGGGTTTAATGTTTACTAATGATCCCCTACAGAAAGGAGCTGGCGCGAATGTATAAGTGTGGTAGTCAACTGCGACGGCGGTATCATAACAAGCAGTTCCCACATCGGAAAATCTTCGAAAACCATCACTTCTATCAGCAGATGAGATGAACGAGATGTAGTGTCGGGAAAGAAAAATTTTCTTCACACGACGTTTAGATATATCACCTGGAAGCATCGTCAGGGACAACTACAGTTATTGATGCTGGACGCACAAAGGGTGTAGTATTTGCGGGAGGCAGTTACCTTGCCATCACACAACTATCATAATTAACAGCCCCCGGCCGTCATCGTCAACGGTTGTAATTAGCTCGAGGATGGATTGCCCGCTCACATCCAAATCGCCATTTGCGCAATTTCATCCCGGTGTTTATTATTGACGTGATACTTACCTGGCAATTTGACCCACTGATCCCAGCACCGGAAGCGATGTATGCCCGCGGTGTTCCCCACGTTGCCAATCAATCTGCCTGGGAAAAATCACAAAAGTGATTATGAAGAGAGGAAGGACATTGGGTTTTGTAATAGACTAGGAACTGGCGAATTATGACTCAAGCAAATCGCAGCTCGTGAGGTTGTCATCGGCCTCGTTAAGCTTGAAGGTATGACCGGGTCCCGTCGAATTAGCCTAGACTTTAGCCTGGCGTCATATCTTTTAACTGAAATTGCATGTTTGGCCATGCGCTTGCGGAATAGCCTCCTCAGTACCTCCGGCGTATTTGCTTTGCCTGCAATTGCACCAGTTTCTATTAACAGACTGACTGAACTTCTGGGTCCGGTATGTGGCTGATATATTCGCTGTCATCGAGCGAGACCACGTTTTGGCATTCTGTGATTATTTCTGAGTCGTCTTCCCAAACATTGGATGCATGATGGATGGCAAAGAGAATTAGGAACTGGCCTTATTTAATGTCCATGTTCGCCGCAGAGGTTGCAATGGCTTAAAAATGACGTGTTTTGGAATGCTGTTAATAAGAGTCAAGTATTGAACACTAGCAGCATCAGCTGCAAATACACTTGCGTAAGGGTGCTATATCGGCGTATTTAGATGCACTACGATAACAGAGTGCATGTTTTTCGAATTAAAATTCTTTGACGGTTTTAAAGTGAATGACTTCTTGCGCAAACATGTTAACTAATGCAAGTGAAATGAGAGATGAGACTAAAATCCATCGTTTTAAATCTCAGTATATAATCGCGGGCACAAATAACTTATCGGAAGCGGTCGGTCGCCACCTTCAGCCACTTGGATTTGCAGTCGCATAGGAACCAGATTAAAAATTTGGTCCAAAAACCGAATGCCACAAAAGGGAACGCCCACGGTGTTTGTCGGATATAGTGCAGTTGCAGGCAAAGCAAATACACCGGAGGTACTGAGGAGGCTACTCCGCTAGCGCATGGCCAAACGTGCAATTGCAGTTAGGAGGAATGACCCCAGGCCAAAGTCTAGGTTAATTCGACGGGACTTCGTCATACCTTCAAGCTTAGCGAGGCCGAAGTACTCCTAACCGATGACAACCGCACGAGCTGCAATTTACTTGAGTCGTAAGTCTTCGGTTCCTAGTATGTTACAAAACCCAATATCCTTTCTCCCTTCATAAACACTTTTGTGACTTTTCTTGGGCAGATTGATTGGCAACGTAAGGAACACACAGGCAAACATCGCTTCCGGTGCTAGGATCAGTGGGCCAAATTACCAGATAAGTATCACGTCAATAATCAACACCGGGATGAAATTGCGGCAAATGCCGATTTGGATGCGAGCGGGCAATCCATTCTCGAGCCAATTACAGCCGTTGACGATGACGGCTGGGACTGTTAATTATGATAGTTGTGTGATGGCAAGGTAACTGCCTCCTGCAAATACTACAGCATGTGTGCGTCAAGCATCAATAACTGTAGTTGTCCCTGACGACGCTTTTGGGTGAGAAGACGATAGGCGTGGGTTGCCGTGCTGGCGACTAGGAGAGCAGACCGCAACAGTACTCCCGGATAAACCGAAGCCGGCGTTATGTGTCTCCGAATGAGTTATACATATTAGACACATAAGTAACAAACCAATCGGGAGAGTGAGCATGGCATTCGTGCGTGATTAAAAGTGAATGGGAAAGGATATATTTGCCTGCGTGCTATAGTAGGAAAATTGATGGGGTATGACGCCGCGGTTGAGAGTAGCAGACAGGGATGAGCGGAAGATAGGGGAACATGGGGCATAGATCAGATTTGTCCTGGACGTCAGAATCTCAACAGTTTATTCTCACGACCTCCTCGTGAGTATCGCAGTGAATTCAGAACGCCTTTTTATTGGGAGCGGCGACACGTAAGGAGGGCTCTATTGACCGGCGCACCTGATAGCATCGATGGGTGACGTGAGCGCATTTCATCAAGCCGTTTTCATAGCAAAACTCGGAGAGATTTGGCCGTGACGGAACCTTGAACGGAATCCGCCTAAACTAGTGGAGGTGGTGGAGGAAGCTCGTGGGATCTGTGACAGTCCGCTCCCTTTATCGCCGCCTCTTTGCCACGCAACTCTTCTGTCCGACTCACACTATCTGTCGGCTCGCTGCTGGGACCGCGCGAGGCCTTCCATTAGTCCGCGGATGCTCCGAGCCAATCAACGCTGCTCCTCCGCTGATTGGCCACTGGGGGGGGACGACTTGGACGGAGCAGAGGCTCTCACGTGGCTGGGGTCTAAAAGTCTCAACGGCAGATACTGGCATCCACAACACGCTTGAAGAGATGGCTTGTGGCATCTGATTGCTGAGCCTCCAGTTCATTTTTTCACAACAGTAATATTTGACCAAGCCAAGCTGTCTTCCCTAACTTGCGGTTTAGGAAGGTTCGCGTTGTTGACCACTGGAAACTCCCCCATCAGCTTCCCATTACGACGTGGCAGCCCGCGCTTCCGTGCTCTCCGCTGCTTTGTCACGTTGCCTTCCTGTATACCTCACACTCCTTGTCGATCTGCTGCTGGGACGCGCGGGGCTTGTTACTAGCCTCGCGAGTGCACGTGGCCAATCAACGCTGCTCCTCCTCTGACTGGCTATCGGACACTAAGACAAAGCGAAAGGCGCCCACACGCGCTGGAGTCTAGGCACCTCAACGGCGGACGCAGATATAACTTGCCTGGAGAGACCACTAGCGGCAACTGCCTGCAGTAAGAGTTGTCCAACCCAATACATCTTCCCTGACTTCTGATTTGGGAATATTTGTCTGTCGACCACACCATCCCGACAATTGGTGACCCCTTGCGAACAGCAATCTCTTTTTTTCCTAATCTACGATAAAGTCAGGCGTTGACCATGGACAATTTTCCACCGGAAATGCTGCATATTCTGACACCTGCTTTCGGCATTCTTCCGGTCGCGCAACTTAGATGGCCGAAAGGCTTGTGAGCTGCACGGTTTTCCCAAGCCGTCACTTTCAATACTCTCTACTGCCTCAGTTCCTCCTGCTTCTCCACTTTCGCAGTTGGAAGTCGGGCTTACCAAGCTGACCGATGATAAAGCTTCTCTCCAGGTGCAGACAGTTTCTCCCTCATTTCAGAGTCAATCAAAGCCGTCCGCCCCGCATGTCGAGTCTGCACATCCAGCCCATTCAAACACAGCCGCCACCTGCTGGTATCACACCACCTTTGGTGCTAACGTCCGTGACTGCACTTCTCCCTGCTCCTCCATCCCCTAGCAGAGCAAACGGGTAAAGTTGGCCAGCCCGAAAGTTAGTGCGGCCAATCTTCCTCGCAGCTCTGAAGCTGGTCACACATTTTACGTTCTCGACATCCGGAGTGGTAGGCGTTTCTTGGTTGACACTGGTGCCCAACTAATTGTCATTCCGCCCACACCAGCTGATCGTCGGTGCCCCAATCCCGGCCTTTCCCTTCAGGCCGCCAACAAGTCTCCCATCACCACCTTCGGCACCTGCTCTCTCTCTCTCTCTCTCTCTCTCTCTCTCTCTCTCTCTCTGAACATCGGCTTCCGGCGTCTTTTACCCTGGGTATTTGTCGTTGTTTATATCCCCTGTGTCATTCTTGATGCATGTTTTCTTGCTGCCGATTTTCTTGTCGACTACCGTCAGTCCCGTTTACAAGACAAGACCACCAACTTCACCGGCCGGAGTATCTCTTCCTCCGACGCCTCCCCCCAAATTGTCCTCCTGGGCTCTGAACCTGAGAATCCATTTCGGCAACCCCTCGCTAAACATCTCTGCTTCGCTCATCCCAACTGCAGCGCTTCTATTCCACCATACGACGTTGTTCACTACATCGGACCATTGGTCCTCCCGTGTTTTCTCGGCCCCACCGTCTCGCGCCTGCACGCCGAGGCCGAGTTTGAACATATCTTTCAGATGGGCATCACCCGTTAATTTAAAAGCTCATGGGTCGCACCCCTCACATGGTCTCAAAGAACGCCATTGGTGACAGGCGCCCCTGCGGTGATTACAGAGCCCTGAACAGCGTTACTGTCTCGGACAGCTACCCTGTACCACATTTTCAGGATTTTGCCGGTGCCCTATTCAGCAAATCGAAGTTCTCGAAAATTGACTTGGTCCGTGCTTTCTCCCAAATCCCCAGCGCCCCAGAGGACACTTTGAAGACGACCGTCATCACTTCCTTTGGCCTCTATGAGTTCTTGAGCACGTCGTTTGGACTCCACAACGCCTCCCAGACCTTTAAAAGGCTCGTATACAGATGACCTCGCGGCCTACCATTTGTCTAAGCCTATATTGACGACCTATTGGCAGCTATCCCTACCGCCAAAGAATATAAGGGGCATCTTTTAACGGTGTTTGAGCGCTTTCAACAATTTGGCGTTATTCTCAACCTGTCCAACTGCGTCTTTGTTATGCCCTCATTAGAATTTCTCGGACATCTGGTTGACACCAACGGCATCCATCCTCATCCATCGAAGGTTGCCGCCATCCGTGATTTCCCTCCTGCCTCCACCAAACGTCATCTGTAGCGATTTCTGGGCATAGTAAATTTCTACCACCGGTCCCTCTCGCACTGTGCCGACACCATCCTGCCACTCACGAGCCTCCTTTCAGGTCCCAAAGGTTCGTTTGAACTGTCTGCGGACGCCCTCACTGTTTTTGACAAAGCAGAGGCTGCCCTGGCCGACGCCACCCTCTTGACGCATTTTTCTCCCGATGCTCCCATCTCCCTCATGGGTAACGCCTCCAATCTCGCAGCAGGCGCGGCTCTCCAAAAGCACCTTGTAGGTCACACTCAACCCTTAACTTTTTTCTCCAGGAAGTTGTCACCTGCCAAGACGCGCTACAGCACATTTGGACGAAGTTTCCTGCTGCCTTCCTCGCCGTGAAACACTTCCGGTGCTTTCTTGAGGGCAGGGACTTCACTGTGTTCACGGATCAAAAGCCCCTCCCCTTAGCCTTCAAATCCACTTCTTACAAGCTCAATCCCCTGAACTACATGTCTTAGTTTACTTCAGACATCCGCCAAATCGATGGGTCAAGCAATGAGGTGGCTGACGCACTGTCCAGGCCCTCTATAGAACACCTCTGACTTTCTCCCGGGATCGAGCTAACCTAGATGGTTGCTCCACCACTTGTCACCGTCCCTCTGTGCGGCCACCCCGCCGCCGCAAGGTCTTCTCCCCCTGCATAACCTTTCTCACCCTGGGAGTAGAGCTACCGACAAGCTGGTTTGCAGCCGATTCGTCTGGCATTGGATGCACAAGGACCTGAAGGCATTGACACGGGCATGTCTCGGCTGTCAGCGGAGTAAGATCCAACGGCACAACTAAGCTCCCCTCGGCACCTTCTCCACTCCGGATGCACGGTCCAGTCATGCCCACCTGGATATCGTAGGCCCCCTGCATCTGTTCAATGACAGTTCCCATCTCCTCACCGGTATGGATCGATTCACCCGGTGGCCGGAGCCATCACTCTGCCCGATTTCGCTGCTTCAAAAGTCATCGACGCTTCCTCAGTCGTTAGTTTTCCATTTTCGGTGCTCTCTCCACTATAACGATTGACATCGATGCTTATTTTGGATCTGACCTCTTCGAGGCTCTTTCCTCTTTTTTAGACTGTACTTGAATCCGTGCTACAGCTTATCACCCGACAGCCAACGAGATGGTCGAACGGTTTCACCGTCAGCTGAAGGCCTCCCTACGCGCGGAAGACAGTCCGGAGAACTCTACGAACCACCTCCCCCTGGCCCTATTGGACATCTGCTCCCCTCCCAAGCCGAACCTTGACTATTCCTCAGCTGAACTGGTCTTCGGCGCCACAGTCAGACTTCCTGGTGAGATGATCTCGCGAAATCCTCGTTGCGCGGTCGAGGATCCTACCAACCTCCTTCACCGCCTCCGGCAGTTTATGCGAACGTTTTCCCCGGTTCCGCTCAGGTCATCCGTCTCTGAGTATTACCCCTAGAAAGACTTGGCGACATGCTCTCACGTCTATCTCCGATGTGATCGAGTCCGCCGACCCCTGGGACCACCGTGCGACGGCTCCTACCGGGTTATCTCTTACGGAACGAAAAACTTCCGCATCCAACGCGGAACTCGCGGGGAAGTCGTGAGCGTGGACCGCCTCAACGCTGCCGTCCCGGACATTTCTCCAAATGAGCCCTGTATTCCCCTGCCCCCTGCTCCACCTTCGCGACCCTCTATCCCTTCGTCCCGTATTCTCCCTCTCCCCACACGTTCGCTACCCCCAACTGCAACTACTTCCTCATCAACCTCCAACGCTGTAACCGCAAGCCATATTCACTCTTCACCGGTGTCCCCTGTATATGTAACCCGCAGTGAACACCATGTTCATTTTCCTGACCATTTGGTTACTCGTGTTTTTTCGGCATGAACATTTCCTTCGGCGTCGCTACACGTCGCCTTGTGTCTGGCGGGAGAGGGCACTGCGCAATCCGCGCCTCCTTGCTCTCCGCTGCTTTTTCACGTTGCCTACCTGCCAGCCTCACACTCCCTGTTGATCCGCTGCTGGGACCCGCGAGGCCTGTTACTAGACTGGCGAGTGCTCGAGGCCAATCAATGCCGCTCCTTCTCTGATTGGCTGGTGGACAATGAGACCGAGCGAAATGCGCACACACGCGCTGAAGTCTAGGTACCGCAATGGCGGACACAGACACAAGTTGCCTGGAGAGACCGATCGCGGTGATTGCCTGCAGAGCCTTTTTGCACACGGTTCCTCGGCAGTAAAACTTGTCCAACCCAATACGTCTTCCCGGACTTCTGATTTCGGGAGCTTTGGCTTGTCGACCATACCATCTGGACAACGACTGACCCACAACAACACCTCAAGAGGTTTGAGGAAACATTTTGTCAGAGAGTTGGTCAGTGTCTCCGAACACCGGCTCAGCGGAGGAACAGTCAGCATCCGGCTTAGAGCTGGACGCTCGTCTAACAGGATCATGGGGAGATGGGAAGTTTGGTTCTCTGGATTTAACGCGGCGACTAGGGAGGCTTTCAGTTGATAATGGAACCGATCGACTAGCCCATTGGCAATGGTAAGTTTCCTGTCGCTGATCTGCGTAAAACCAGAGAGAGGAAGATGGACTGGAACACTTGGGACTGGAATTGAGTACTGCGGTCAGTTATAATGCCAAAGGAGACACCGAATAGAGCCACCTTACGACTGAGAAATGCCTTCATCAACGCGAAAAGCAGAAAGAGAAACAGTAGAGAGCTCGAACGAATATCTGATACCCAGATGGAAGTTCCTGAGCGGTAGAATGGTGTCATTAAAGTTCGGAACCAACCGGCGATAGAAGTTTACTGAGCCCAAAAACGGCTCTATCTGATGTTTGAAAATGGGGAGAGAGAGATTCGCAGATGGCGGCGACCTTGAGATGGAGAATGTGGGCACTAACGTAGTCTACCATATATCCTTGAAATTCGAGAGCGGGAGTTTTGAAGTACATTTGGACTCGTTGATAACAACGTCAAATTATTGGAAGCACTTAACATCGTATTACGATAAATCATATGGTCTTCGACGATAATGTTGTTCTCTAAGAGGTCATCAGTGCTGACATAAACAGATAGTATGTCATGAGGACTCTTTGTACCCAAGTCTAGAAGGTTCGGGGAGGCGCTGCGGAGTCAAAAAGTCATGCATAGTACCTCCAGGCCGTCAGAGAGCCTGTGAAGGACGTCTTCGAAATGTTCGTCGGTACATTTGGGACCTAATGAAATGATCCAACCAGATCCAGCTTGGAGAAGATAAACTGCTAGCAGGACCTTCTGTACACACCTCCTCGGCAATAAAAGTTCTCCAACCAGATCCGCCTTCGCTGACTTCTGATTTTGGAATCTCTGTGTTGTCGACCATACCATCCCGACAAGGGCACTGGCAATAGCCTGGATAATGGAGCGGCCAGGAGGTCGCCGTAGGGAGCCAATTGCCAGGGGTGGCCATGGAAATCATGTGCGGGGGCAAGGTACAAGAGCCTTTCGACTAACGGACAAAGCCCATCTGAAGAATATGTTGGAAAGGAGCCTTGGCGGCAGCAAAGTGTGAAGGTGTCGGGAGATGAGTTTTTAAAAAAAATAGGAGGTCAGTGATTCGGCTGTAACGAACGACATCGTGCGGTGAAGCAGGAGCATTTACGTTGGGACAGACGAATTAAGGGTATTTTGGCTAGGGATAGTCGAGATGGATCTGCAAGTTCGGCGTCCAGAACGGTTCGTTGACGGGACACCCAGATGAAGGCATGACTCGCACGGGTCTGAAAGTTTGAAATGTCTGACATGGGTTAACGGCAGGAATGTTTACAGTGAGAGGAATTACCCTGATGCGGACGCCTATGCAGGCGCTGACGCCAACGGGGCAGGACAGAAAATGAGGACACGCAGTGGCGGACGTCCATGTAGTTGACCCGAGCTACTAGATGGTACGTCGTGAGTCACTGGCTTTAAGAATAAACTATTATGCCGGACAATAACAATAGCTTACTGAAGATGCCTGTAGAATACAACATTGCTAAGCACGCTGGGAAGAAATATCCGAAAGCCGTATTACTCGCAGAAATCTGACGACGCACTATTTGCATCAGGAGCGTGTCCGCTCTCAAAAGTGATCTGACGGATGCTTAAACAAGCCTATACATTATAATATGGGCAAAATTTAAAATAAGTTAGATAGTTGGAAAGGAAAACTAACTAGGAGACGTGTCGCCATATAGGATGGAATCGTCGAACTCTTCGGTCCGGGCTGCCATCTTGTCGACTTAGTAAGTGCCGAAACGCTCGCGATTTATGCGATCTAGGCAATGCTGTACACCCTCAGGCCTGCAACACGAGCCTCTTCTGGGGTGGGGTCGAAAGACAAGACTCTCTAATATATACAGAATAGAGAGATGCAACCGACAGCTCATTAGACGTTTTGCAAAAGAGTAATCTTTAATAGCTCGTGGAACATTGATCAGTGTGTAACACTGAGACTAAACAATTAACAACCAGACTGAGTTAATCTGACGCTCTCCAGAATTATTGTTGTCTTTCTTTTTTCCCATAGTCTCTCGATTAACAATGTGAAGCGATTTGTTTTGGTTTTCTTCACGAGGCAGTTAAGCTTCCTGTAGTTTACGCAGTTAGATTGCGTTGCTTTAGCTAATACCAGTTTGATTGTGGCACGGGGAATCAGTAAAACACTTGGTTACTGTGATTATGTTATGCGACGAAGTGTTTTACTAGTTTAGGGGAGCCCGGGTGAAAACCTCAGTCTGTATATTTTTGCCTTGGAAACTAAAATTGACGGACCGCGACAAGGCGTTCAACTGTTTTGTTGGAGTTTCAACATTCGCTATCATAGGAAGTTCAAGCATGATCCATCTAGTGGGCAGAGTTTTTGTGTGACTACTACCGCAATGTATTACTGACCTTATATGGTTTGACAGTTTGGGATAGTGCGAAAAGATGAACACGAATACATTGGAAGTTTACGAACTAGATCTTGAAGACTTCTAGTTGCAGTATTCGCCTTGGCCCAGATAAGTCCACCTTGTGTCTATGTCTCTCCCACGAGATTCCATCCAAATGTAACGTGAAGAGTCTCGATACAACTTGATTCAATGGATTCCCACAAACATGGATAACCACGCTTTCTTCGGAATTTTGCCAAGCAGGTTGCTTAATTGCTGAAAAATACGGCTAAATGCGGCATTACTTTGGTGCATGGAATATGTATCACTGATTATGTTAATCGCGATCCAAATGTCTGATTTGAGGTGGCCGTTCCAAGCTTAAGAAGGGACAGTCTACTGTGGACTCGAAATACCAAATTAATGATCTACAGATTACTGTTTGCCCAATCAAAAAATTTTATCCCTTTTTAAGAAGCGTTTCGAAGTGTCCCAGCTTTATTAACACGTCCAACCTGAGTAAGACGACGTCACTAGTTAGGAAATAAAGTTACTCCAGACATGAATACCAGTTGGTTTTCCATAGCCCCGGTATA